TAGATCAACCCGCCACAAACTATAGATTAACCCGCCACAAACTATAGATCAACCCGCCACAAACTATAGATTAACCCGCCACAAACTATGGATTAACCCGCCACAAACTATAGAGTAACCCGCCACAAACTATAGATCAACCCTCCACAAACTATAGATTAACCCGCCAATCTGATAGTGTAAAACTTGGATTTTTCAAACTTTGACTGTTTGATTCAAAGCCTGCAACATTAAAGGTTTTAATACGAGTTACAACAACAGGTTTTAAAGATATAAGTGTTTGAAATGTAAATAAGGATAAAAGTAACCAGTTCCTTACATATTAAATCAAAAATATATTTACCTCATCTCTAGATGGGGTCTAAACTGCCAGGCGCCGAATTTGTGTTGTTCTCTACAAAAGAACTATGAGCCCGAGCAATCGTTTTTTCCTGCAAACTTTTCCTGTCTTCGGTTTTCTAAAGTGAAAAGAGGAAAAATAAGAAATCCAAGCTACCCCCACCCCCCACAAATCCCCTTAAACATTCTTGTTAAAAATAAGTAACTTAAAAGGTATATTAAAAATATGCAAATTAACTGAATAACTACATTGTGAAAACAGTAAGCTGTATCATCAGACAAATTAAAACCAATGGAGTTTAAAACATTCAATGATATACCCGAGACCGTAGCCAGCTTTTTATAAAGAAATCCCTTTTTTATCTTCTTAAACTATATTTTGTTTTCTTCTGTTGTATTGTTGGTTGGGGGGTTGTTAAATATAACGAGGGGAAGATATTGGCATTTTCCTTAAATTTTCAAATAGACATTTTAAAAGGTAAAAAGGGGAAGCCTTGCAGATGGAAATTACATTATATTCCAAGAATAAATTCATTCCAGTTCAGATTTTACTTATTCTTTTACAAATTTATTCCCAAAACATCATCGAAATTTATATTGAATAAAACCGTGCACCCCCGTCCCCCACCACCATTTTATCAAGATCAAAAATATTCTTGCGCGGAATATTAATTGATTGGTTTTTTAGGATTATGAAACAATCTTAAACAGGTAATTTTTAATATTATAATCAGTTTTATGCTGTTTAGTAATTTCACAAGGGCATTTTAATTTAGCAAGGACGACTTCCCAAATGTGCAATTCCCCAAGGAGTAACTTCCCAAAGGTTAGGTTAGACCCTTTGGGGCGCGCAGGCTACAATGAAGAGGCCGAGGGTTGCGACTGGAACAGGCTGGGGACCAAGCGCTGTGATTATTATTATTTTTAATACTATTATCATCATTAATTTGAGTATTAGTTTGCAATATCCATACCTATTACTTCTTCCAATTTCTGAACAATCCCTTTAATTTAGAATTTAATATCCGGCACCGGACACCTCGTCTTTTATCCCCCTATGCAGTATATTATTAATCTTAAACTTTCCAGCTTTTTTTTTCAGTGATGATTTTTCACAATATTCTTTTAAAAGATATATTATTATTTTGTAATGAATATGAAAATAATATTTTTATAATCTCTTCTAGGCTGTATGAAAGACTGGAGGAGGAGAAAGGAATATCCTTTGAAGAATTTAAGGAAATTCCAAAGTTGAAAAAGTTTAAAATTTTGTTAAATCTATCTTAAAATATTTCTAATGGGGAAAGAAGCTTATTTTTTCTAACCTTGGTTTGGTTTGGTTCAGGATTTCTGCCAGTTTCTGAATAATCTCGAGGATTTTCAGATTGCTATGCGTATGTACACTTTAGCAGATAAAGCTATTACCCAGGTACAATTGTACAATTATACAGCACTAAGGAAAAATGATTATCGCAAAATATTATTTCTGCAGTCAACTCTCTTCAAGGAATTGTACACGTTTTTGAAAATTACACATAATATTAATATACTAACTTTTGGAATTAGGAACAATACTAAAATATTAAGATAATAAAACCTAATAAATCAATTAAAGATATACGGCAAATACTTCCCGGAATTAACAATGGTGTTATTTGTAAGATTGTCTTACCCCATTCATGAGCATTGGTTTCTGATACTCAGATTTACAATGATTAAATTTCAGTTATTTGTAATTGTACTGTACTGTGTACTGTTCTAGGAAGAGTTTTCACGTGCAGTGTACATATGTACAGGAAAACAGCTGAGTTCTCATATTGTACAGACAGGTAAGTGAAGAACTTGAAAGAAAATAACTAAATCAGAACATGGGAACTTTTGTGTTTGATGCTCATGCATAATCCAGATCCCTGGATGAGGATCTATAAAAAACTATCTTTTCTTTATCTTCAGTTTAGTTATTTCTCTTCTGATCATAGCTTTCTTCAACCCTTGACATGGGTACTATATTACCATGCAGGATCTCGAAAAATAATTGATCTCGATATCTACAAGAGTTCTCAGTTCAGAATCCAATTTAAAAGCGCTCCTTACCCACAACAAAATTTATGAAATTATTAGTGTGACTTAATTTATCTTGCATTCGACTTGAGGCATTTTGAACCAAATCATGTACGAATTATTTCTATTTTAAAGGGACTGTAAACATAATTTAATTCTCAAATGACTCTTCATATATAGGCTGGCATTTGCGACCCTACAGCTTTTTCTAATCAAAATGAACGAGAAAAATTGTCAGAATTTAACACTTTTTAAGTTCGAAAAAGTACAAGCTTTTTGTTAACTTGATTAAAGACATTCCTTCTTATACGGAATGCTAGTTGAAATTACATCCAAAATCTCTTTAAGTAAAATCATTATTCAAGATCTTAAAGCTAAATTATGAAAAGTATTTTTTTAATCTAAATTGTGAAAGCATTTTTTAAGTTCAATTGAGAGAAAAAGTGTTATCCCGAAACTAACTCCATAGTGTACAGTAAATAGATTGATGTCTGGTATTCAGGTTTAGTTTGTTCACAATATACCCCATTAAACAGGTTTTACCTCGATCCTCTATTTGATATTTCCATCCAGGAATTAATTTCTTCCCTTGTTTATAAGAGTTGGTTAAACAAATACTTGCATAGAAGGAATTGTCTTTTTTTACGATTTTACAGGTTGAGTCAAAATAAAATGTGATTAGCTAAACCTTTTCCATAAACATAATGTGTATGTATTGTATTGTTGCTATGTTTTCCATAAACATAATGTGTGTAACATGTGTATGTATTGTATTGTTGCTATGTTTTCTTGTGACTTACATGGCCCCTAACAAATCCGCGAAACTTTTTAAAAACAAATGAGCAGAAAAACATACACGTGAAAAAAGATCTTTGCTATCCAATTCTAAAACTTTATGAAGGTTGGGTTGACCAATCGGAAATAGATTCAATGTTTATTTCTTTATTCAAATGACAGCAGCATATGGTTCACAGGTTGAAAAATCAAGGCCCAGGAAGATTAAATTAGTCCTCCAATACAGACAGCTACATATGACAGCTTGCAGACTTCTTGGCAACATATGTTTGTGGGGGGAGCATCTAAGAAAGGCAAGCGTGAGAAATGGGTCATAAAATATGATCTAATGGTAAAACTGAGGATATCCTCAAGGAAGCCTATCAATAGTTGCTGGAGGAAACAGGCTGTAGAGGGAACGGGGGGCTGGATACCATGCTGAATTCATAGATATTTAAACGTTAAATACTCATGTTACTGAAATATGCTATTTTTTTTTTGCAAATATGGAAGACTATTTTATGGCTACAGGCGCCTAAATCTCCCTCTAAGCCAATGTATTGTTAAGTAGAAGAACAGAATTCCATCACTATCCGCACTGTAAGAAAATCATTCTTCTTTAAACTTTAAACAATGAATGCTTACATAAAAAACTTTTAATCTTTGTCTACGGATATTATAAACCGTGGAAATTCCGTAATTTTGTATGACCCTCCAAACAATGGCATCTAATAAACATTTGTCTGAAAAAAATTATAAGTTTTCTCCGGCTTTTTCTATTTCTATTCAATGCTTTACTAGACAGACCTATTACACTCAATAAACGATGGGTTAGTTGAAAAGCTTCTAGTTACATATTATTCAAAATATCCGGGTTTTTTTTTGAGAAATTTCAAAGCTCATAGAAATAATATATATTAATACTGTTTGTTTTTCTTTTTCAACTTGTCCTAATTGTAGATTTTAAGCATTAATTAACCATAGCATTTTATCATAAAAATTATCGTTTTTATTTTTCGATTTGTTCTATGCACAATTTTGTATTTAGACTTTTTAGCATTAATATAAAACGGATTTTATTTTAGTATTTCAAATATTTGATGATGATGGGGATGGACTGCTGAGCTATCAGGAGTTTGTGGCGATCATGAAGGATCGGATACACAGAGGGCTTAAATCCTACGCCAGGTAATCATGAAGGATCGGATACACAGAGGGCTTAAATCCTACGCCAGGTAATCATGAAGGATCGGATTCACAGAGGGCTTAAATCCTACGCCAGGTAATCTTGAAGGATCAGATTCACGGGGGGTTTAAATCCTACGTCAACTAATCTTAAAGGATTGGATACACAGGGGGTTTAAATCCTACGTCATCTAATCTTCAAGGATTGGATACACAGGGGGTTTAAATCCTACGTCAACTAATCTTGAAGGATCAGATTCACGGGGGGTTTAAATCCTACGCAAGGTAATCATGAAGGATTGGATACACAGGGGGTTTAAATCCTACGTCATCTAATCTTATTGATTGGATACACAGGGGGTTTAAATCCTACGTCAACTAATCTTAACGGATTGGATACACAGGGGGTTTAAATCCTACGTCAACTAATCTTAACGGATTGAATACACAGGGGGTTTAAATCCTACATCCTATATCTGAATTTTTTTTGTTCCGAAATTAATCTGCACTTAAATCCTGTATCCGCCCCTGAGAAAAAATACTATCATGAAGGATCTTAGAATACTTAGGAGGTATCTCACAAAGTTTTTTTTTTAAAATAAAGAAAACTAAATACAAAAATACTACAATTGTTTTGGTGTGTTCCAATGAAACTCGATATCTTTGAGATTGATAATAAATGTCATATTCGATATTAAGTTGTGTCTGACGGTAATAATGAAAACATATTGCAAGTTCTTGTGTAATGTGTATTGTCCAGGGTCCTGGCTTTTTAAGATTAAATATTAAAGCTTCAAAGATTTATGTTTACTGCAGTATTCCACACAGTGAGCCCACCTATACATAAGACTTAGGCTGGTCGGGATTCAAACATTGTATAAAACAAGAAATGAAGAACTAGGCAAACCTGTACAGTATACACTACAAACAACACGTACACTATGTACACAATGTTGGTTCTGTTGTACACTTCAAACCTTATTGCACAAAAAAGGAAAGTAATATTTTGTCCTTTAAATGTGTACGTAAAGTTACTCTGTACAGCAGCGTTATTATTTCAAATATTTTAACATTATGAATAAGTAACTCATCTACGAACATGTTCATGGTAATTCGTAAAACCTAATATTGTATTTTTTCGAAATTTCTCGTTATGAAACCGTATCAACTTTCAGATCATGAACATCATGAACAAGAGATCATTTAATCTCTCTAAATTGACAGTAAATAGAATCTAGTCTTTTTAAAATCTTTAGTATAGTTGTATTGATGATAACAATAAACATGTTTCATGTACTACAGCAGCACATTTAATCAACATTTCAACCGAGGTTGGTTTGTGAACATATTTTACCGTTGCATCTTAGGCCTGCTAAGAAGTAAGAAATAGTTTTATTTAAACAATAACAAATATGGTGAATAAAGATTGGAGTTTTCGCACCTCTGACCCTTCAGTAAAAGTAAATTCAACCTTAAGTCTGACAGCGTCAACCTTGTTCCACCGGCTAGTCCTATTGAGTGTCTGCTTCATTTACCCTATGTCCGGGCGATACAGTACAAACTGGGACCGGAAAAGTTGACCCATCTCGGAAATTCAAATGTACTTCGGCTGCCCGTGGCAGGCATAAATGCCTAGCTTGGAATGGTTATTCAAATTAAATCCGGGTTTATTCTTAACACGTTATAGTTAAATAAACAAACCTTACCCCCCTCTTCTTGGATTTTTCATTTTTTTAATAAGGACTCTTAAAGTCGGGAGCTGTCATTTTCAGCCCTCATTCATCCTTGCTCTACTTCTTGAAATCCCTTTTCAGTAGAAATTTTCATCAAAATTAAAAATTTCCTCATCTCAATGTGTTTCTCTCACTTTGAAGTTTAAATTATCATGAAGGAATATAGTTTATACATAGAAAAAAATTAAAAAAAAAATTCTTTGATTTAAAATTGAATTTATGCCGAAAAATAAAAACAATTTTTAAACCTTGATTGCATCATACATGCAGTTACTCAGGCAGCAAGTGTTGTGTTAAACTATTTAATATAGTTGAAGTTCTAATGAGTCTAATATATTTAATAGGTCTGATCAGAGACAACTCAAGACTTCTCAAAGTTTTAGAATTCTAGAATTCTTCCTATGGGCCACCTTATAGAGCCAATAATTACTAGATATAACTTACCTAAAATGGTACATCAAAGCCACTAAAACTATGTATGAACTAGAATACACATCAACTATACTAAAATGTATACATTTTTTGCCTCATATACAGTGATAGGCATTTATATCAATACAATGAAGACTACTTTTTTCTTCATCAAAGAGAAGCTTTTTTGATTGACGGCTTCTCTTGACTTATATATCTTAATGAGTATACAATATACATGCTGTTTACAGCTTGATAAAAATCAATATTGAAAACCAAAATCGTCTTCATTGTTTTGGTATAATCGCCAACCACTGTAAGTGTGTGTTGTCTATGGTTCTACTTGTTGTATAGTTGCTCTAATATGCTTCAATGCAGCTAATTGCAGAAACTTGGGGATTCTTGTGCACTTCACATTTAGTTCCAAAGTTTCAATGTATTCGGAACAGTGTACATACATGCAAGTTACTGTACATAAATACAGGTTACTGTACATAACTGAGGTTACTATTCATAACTGAAGTAACTGTACTGTGAGGTTACTGTACATATCTGAGGCTACTGTGCATAACTGAGGTTACTGCACATAAATACAGTTCACTATACATAATAAAAGTTACTGTACATAAATACAGCTTACAATACAGAACTCCAGGTCACTGTACATAGAGGTAATTGTATATCCATGCTTAAGTGCAGGTTACTGAACGTAAGTACAGTTTACTGTACAGTACATCCATGCGTATATGCAGGTTATTCTACAGTTCTACAGATTACTTAACAAAAAACAGGTAACCGTACAGTGTTCATTGCGTGCATTGATTCAATTTAAATTGTACACCATTTGGAAGTAAAAAAGACACTGTAAAAACTCAACAACAAGCTTTTTTTCCAAAATCCATTTTTGTCTTAATCTTTTTCTCACTTTATTAATCTCTGAATGTTTGTTAAATATGTTAATGTTTTTCATCACATTTATTGTTATTCTTAATATGTTTATGTTCCAAATCTCTAATGAATAAACTTTCTTAACTCAACTTTATTTAATTGTTCATTTCTTTCAGAAAATAGTTCAGAACTTTGTTACACGAGTTTCACTAAAAACTAATAAGATATTTAAACACTGAAAGGACTACATCTGCAACGTAATTTTTTTAAGAAAGTGAATTTTAAAAACAAAAAGTATTAATAGAAAAGAAAAGCAATTCAACAGTGTTTCAGTATTACAACTTCTTTTAGCCCCTAACCCTTAATTCTATTTTTTTCTTCAGAATTATAGTTTTACTGAAAAACGAAAACTGTTGAATGACTTCATGCAAAGATTGAAATTCACGATTCACAAGGTTACCCTGATAAGCTTGTCAGGAGGGCTCTGCCCGATTCCAAACAGTACCCTTAAACAGTACCCTTAAAAGCTTTAAAAAGTGAATATTTGCAAATTATTTTTTTTCCATCTCATGATCTGAGTTCGTTTCCCTTATGTCCATTTGACAGCCCAAATCTTTGTTTTGAATAATCTTTTTTGTTTGTTTATTTTCTTGTGATTTTTAACAATTTAAAAATTTTTTTTTTTAACGATTTTGATGGTTATTATATCGTTAGAACTGACGAGGGTCAACTGAGACCGAAATATATTTTCAATAAATGTGGAACTAACATCTACTTTTTTTAATCTACAGAGTTTTGGTCCCTCACCATCACCGAATTTTAAATATGAATTAGTGTTTACATTTTTAAAACTGATTACTTTTAATTGTGGTTTTTCTGTAAACATGACTTTCTCGTTTCTCCTGCCGGGAATCTGGGGGAAATTTGGGCCTGGAAAACCTAGAAAAAATGTATTAGCTTCCAGACTATTGATCAAACAAAGGTTTCAAATATAGCATAGTAAATCGCGTAGTGTCACATTCGTGCGTGGCACGCGCATTAAACAGTCCGTTGCTTCGTGTTTTCTCTTTTATTGTTTTATTTTGTCGGCATATGCGTTTTAAGCGGAAAAGTTAAAAAAGACAATTCTTCGTAAGTATACAGGTTGTTGAATTATAGCAACACGCTGATTGAATTCAATTTTAAAAAACTGAATGCATCCCTCGCTGGTTAGTCCAGGTGCTAAAGGTTCACTTGAAATTACGCTTACAGTCTCTTTGTGTTTCTAATTAAAATATTCTTTTGTCTGTGTAGAGACTTCCCAACAGGATTATTTTACCTTTTCTAGGCTTAATGTTGTCACTGTAAACTAAGAGTAATGGTTGAATAAGAGTCTGTATCATTTATCTTCATATAAAGGTAGAACTTACCACTAATCAGAATACAGTATATTGTCTATACAGTATACACACAGAGTTTCATATACACAATATCATGGAAGTTCATGGTTCTTTTAATAATAATATTGTTTAGTCAAATTGTGTAATTAACTGTGTTTATAAAGAGAGTTGTGTAATTAACTGTGTTTATAAAGGGAGTTGTGTGATTAACTGTGTTTATAAAGGGAGTTGTGTAATTAACTGTGTTTATAAAGAGAGTTGTGTAATTAACTGTGTTTATAAAGAGATTTGTGTAATTAACTGTGTTTATAAAGAGAATTATGTAATTAACTGTGTTTATAAAGGAGATGTGTTATTTCCTGTGTTTACGTTAACTTGAGTATATATATTATGTATATATTTCCATATATAATAGTCTGTACTCTGTGGTTTTGTGTTAAGTTTACTTTGGAACACAGATATTATGAAAACAATAGATGAGACAAAACAGGCGTCCCAATCATAACGTACCTTCTTTGTATCTTTAAAATTGACGGAGACAATTGAACAGTTTTGTTGATTTTAATTTAACTGGAATCTGGACAAATTTCCTAATATCTCCGTCAATTTTGAAAGTAAAAAATGGGAGTCCACATTTTGAATAACCCGTGATTAGTAGTTTTCGGTGTTAAATGTTTGAATTGTGATATTAGAAAATCTTATTTACGAATAATGTCTATTGGGACACCCTGTGCAAAATTAACGTCATGAGCGATGATCAAATCAGGGATGAAAATTATCTCAAAAAACATTTTCCCCCTACGATTTAAATATGCTTACACGAAGCGCAACAAAATATTATGTTTGTTTTTTATTTTTAGGGGAAAATGAAAATAAATTTGGGTAAAAAGTATCAAAAGAATATAATAATTTGCAGTTTGATGTCCAATTTTTCATCCCCCTAAAATCAACCCCCCCCCCCGGGGGTAATGCTGAAAAATTACCATAGAACAGTATCTACGCATTTAAATGTATTGTAGATTGTTCTTGCCAATTAACAATGGTACCTACGATTGATAGGGTCTTTGAAATTACTTGTGGATAATGTTTCTTGTCTCCTCTGTTATTATCTCTGGTTAGTCTCCTGTGAGTATATATATAAGTTTGTAAGTGTGGAAGAAGAATAACAATAACATGTTTATTGTTTACACAATACTCCTTCTAAATGGGTTGGCTCCGTGTTCAGAACATTGTTGTAATAATAAAGGATAAAACCAAGATTTAAGAAACTGTAAAGTGCAGAAATTCTCTTTTCCTAAAACCTTGTAAAGCCTGTAAAACTTATAATTTTCTTTATAATTTTAAAATTTCTACAATGACTGAATATGTTCTGTTAAGTATAGGGCTTAGCAAAGTTCTGTTAACGAAAAGAATTTGTTTTTGAAAAATAATTGCAAAAAAGGGAACCCTGTCTAGATATTGTTAAATAAAAGGAGCCCTGTCTAGATATTTATAAATAAAGGGAACCCTGTCTAGATATTTATTTTAAGATCTAGATATTTATTTATGTATCGAGGTTGTTACGAGTTTACAAAATTGTTAATATGGATTTAACACAAAATTTTTTGCGATGTTATCGTGCACATACAATTATAAATTGATAAGGTCAAAATCCAGAATTTTACAGATACATTTTTTTCTCGTTTTTTCATGTCTTGATTGCTGGTAAATTTATATTCAAGTATTGACAGAGCAGCAGTTCAAGAGAAAAAACTACACTATATATTAAAGGATACTTTTTTGAAGTATGACTGGGAGATACTAGAAACACAGTGTGTTTTATCTCTTATTGGAATATGCTACAATTAACAGTGTGCATGCTTTCACATAAACATGCACGGGAACAAGTTTATATTAAAGAAAATTATTGTTAGCTTCATAACAAGGAACATTGACCGTTCCTAGTTAAAAATAAGGCTGCAAAATCTAAGTTTAAGAATAGGGCATAATGATTTAGAGATTTGAAAAATAATATGTGTTATCTCTTGTTATAAAATGCCACAAATAACCTTGTTACATGTTTTAACATAAACATGCTGGGGAGCGAGTTTTTTTTTTTAATATTACAGAACATTGAAAATAGCCTCATGACGAGAAACATTGACCGTTCTTTGATAATATTGAGGCTACATAATTTTGTATAAAATAAAGAGCAGCATAATTTACATCTTTAATAACAAGGAACATTGACGGCTCCTTGTTGAAATTTTGGAAATATATCAACTAGGATAGGGGAAAGAGACAAGATTTTAGTCTCTTCTTGTTCATCGTATCTTGTGAGATCATGGTTCCTCTGCGCTTGTTGCGGTGAAGTTTATCTCCGTTAACTACGAACTCGGGAGGCGTATCAGTTCGGCTCATACTGAATTAATAAAAAGACCTATTAGTTTATTCAAAATCTTCGGTAGTTCTTACATTGAACTCAAAGGATGTCAATTTTTAAAACATAGAATCTCTACTTAGAGACGTATTGAGGAAAGTATCTATATAAAGGTGTTTATAAAAAAATTTCAAATTGGATAAAAATGAACTTTGAAAAAACTTAGAAGACTTCATTTTTTCATTTTTGGATGCAAACAAGCTCAATTCCTGAATTAGAGAACCATACTTAAAAATTTCGTTAGAGGGAAAAGTACAAATTTTTTTCGTTGGAAAAATTTGACGAAAAATCGCCAATTTGGAGTTTGAAAATCTTATCTTGGTTATAATTTAGACAAAATGTGCCACCTTTCGCTAGAAAGTATACTGTACGGTCTTTAATTTTTATTTAGGTTAAACCTTTGCAGTCCTATGTGATCCGTGTTCACAACATTCACCCTCTATATAAAATAATTATAGTATTCGTCAAATTTGAGTAAGTTCCGCCATGCTCAAAGAGATCCCATAAATATTTAAAAATAAAGGGAACCCTGTCTAGATATTTTAAAATAAAGGGAACCCTGTCTAGATATTTAAAAAATAAAGGGAACCCTTTCTAGATATTTAAAAATAAAGGGAACCCTGTCTAGATATTTAAAAATAAAGGGAACCCTGTCTAGATATTTAAAAATAAAGGGAACCCTGTCTAGATGTTTAAAAATAAAAGGAAACCCTGACTAGATATTTAAAAATAAAGGAAACCCTGTCTAGATATTTAAAAATAAAGGAAACCCTTTCTAGATGTTTAAAATTAAAAGGGAACCCTGTCTAGATATTTAAAAATAAAGGAAACCCTGTCTAGATGTTTAAAATTAAAAGGGAACCCTGTCTAGATATTTAAAAATAAAGGGAACCCTGTCTAGATGTTTAAAATTAAAAGGAAACCCTGACTAGATATTTAAAAATAAAGGAAACCCTGTCTAGATATTTAAAAATAAAGAGAACCCTGTCTAGATATTTATAAATAAAGGGAACCCTGTATAGAATTTAAAAATAAAGGGAACCCTGATATAGATATACCTAAATGAAAGAGAAGCATGTACAGTGTAAAAGGATGATATATCAAATGACAGGAAACATGTAAAGGGAGGATGTATTAATTATTCAGTTAGAGCATAGACAGGTAGCAATAGAGGATACAGGATACAAGGACTCCTAGAATACAGGATACAAGGACTCCTAGAATACAGGATACAGGATCTCCTAGAAAAAAGGATACAGTAAATCCTGGAATATAATATAAAGTTTATCAAAAATATTGGAAACACATAGTGTCCAAGATACCAGGATATGTACTTGTGTTCTCACGGTACATCAGGTATTAAACCAGGATATGTACTTGTGTTCTCACGGTACATCAGTATATATAAACCTTCCCTGGGGTCATGTTATTGTGAAGTGCCACACAAAATTTGGGCCCGAACAGATAAGCAAAGTGATTACGAGATAATAATAAAATAGGTTTGAAAGTGATTAAAGCCCAGAAAATCTTAATCAACTTGTACGATCAGTAATACTGTGAACCAAACTATGCACTGTCACTCTCTCGCAAAATTTAATGATGAATTAATTAATTTCTCTGTGCTCAATAAAGCTAAAAACAAGCGCTTGCAGTTTATAAAAAGAATAGCATAAGGAAATCGATGAGGTAACACCAAAGGTGACTCGACACTGTAAAATCGACACGGTCTTGAAACTATTCCTTATCATACGACATAGCACATCGTAAATAATCTAAAAATTGTTAAAAAAGGTTTTATTTATTCTTTATATTTGCTGATAACAAAAAATGTTTTCACATACAATTTGTTTTTTGTTCCAATTATACTTTTTATTAGAAATGACATATGTTTCCTATTGCTCCCAATTATTTAGAAAAGAAATATAAAATCTCTATTTATTTTAAGAAAAAATTCCATTGATTTTATAAAATATTATTACAGGGGGAACAATTAATAGTAAAATTTAAGAGCACAGTGTGAACGTATTTAGAGTACATTTCTTACAATTTATACAATGTTAAAATAAAAACAATAATTTTTTTGCATAAATTGATAATCAGCTTGGAATGATTTTAAAGAATGGTGCGATATGTTATTCTTTTTAAAATTAAATTATAAGAGTCTGAATGTGCCACTTAAAGTTTGTTTTAATAAAAACAAAAGCGAAAACACTTTCCGTTTTTTTTTAATACAATAGATTTTTTTTTAGCATGTTTTGATAATCTACCTGAAAACATTTAAAAACGGAAAAATTCTTAAAAATCGGTTAAAGGATAAAATAAAGTGCTATCAAATCATCATAAAAAACGACGATGAAAAAAATGTCATAAAACTATTATAAAATATGAAATTATTTAGTACAATGAGAACCAGGAAACGTGGAATAGTAAGACGACATTAAAGCAATAATCAGGTGTATTTGATGTTGTTCTATAAGGAAAATAGTTTTACTAATTAATTCACTTATTAAGTGAAAATGGTCCCTTCACACTACACAATTGCTGTGTCTCATGTTCAATAGTCTTTCAAAGACTTAACTTGAGTCTAAAAGTCGTCCTCCTATTCCAGAGTTTTCTAGTTATCACTGTACAAAAAAAATTATCTAAAATTAGTCACAGACTCATAGATCCATATATTGTCGAATTAGCACAAACATTTTTTTTTTTCAATAGATATTAAAAAATGTCCATTTTATCTTGCTTTTATTGGATTCCACTAGACAAGAACCTCTTTTTCATCTAGAGTTAAAGACTCAACATCTCTCACCTACGAATAAAATATATTTATTTGGTTGATATATTTAAATAAAATTGACCTTTAAAGGAACTGTAGTCGTATTTTCAATTAACTCACTATGTAAAAAAAGGCATGTCCGATTTACAGCGGTACCCTGTAAACCTTTGCTTGATCGTTAAAAGGACTGTAAAGGAAAAATGAAAGGGGGTATAGGCTGAAAGCTAATCACTTTAGCTTTTCATCGAGACCCTTGAGACGCCTATCTGAAGTTCCTGACTCGAGAATTTCGACGATCCAACACTAAATCAATTATATCTATTAAAATCAAAATAAAAGTTATGAAATTATAATTGAAGAAAATCAAAGTAAAGATTAGCTTCCTCTGGGATATCTTCGTTTTCAGATTGGTTGCTGTTTTTCTGAACATGGTCTGTTTAAACCTACTATTTCTATACGAAATTGTATATATATGCATTTTCGTACAAGTTTGAAACAGCTTTATATCAATTCTCGAGTCAGGAACTTCAGATAGGCTTCTCAAGGGTCTCTATGAAAAGCTAAAGTGATTAGCTTTCAACCTATACCCCCTTTCATTTTTCCTTTACAGTCCCTTTAAAGTGGAAGAAATTTTCATATCTCTAGCTCTGTAGTTGTTATATGAGTGATTGTAAGTATTGCGGGTCAGAATTATATTTCAAACTATCTTGGAAACCAAACCTTGGCTGAATTGTCCCGTATAAAAGTCCACCCACTCAACTTAGAATTTTAAAACCAAACTAAGAAAATTCCAGTGATTCTCCCAAGTTCCTTAATTTATTGATTCGGTCATGGGAGTCATGAGTTATGATCAATAAAAATTAACCAACATGTTTTCATCAATAAAAAAAATTGACGATAACACAAATTAAGAGTAAATAAGAATAGTATTTGAACATTTTTTTATGAAAAAAAAACTAAAACTCTATATTTCTATACATCTTTAAATGTTAAAATCTCGGTAGTTTTGACTAAAAATAGCTAAGTTTAGCTCATTTGACTCTGTTCATCTATTCAAAAATTTTCCAACTCTCAATTTCAGGCCAAAATAAATGAACTTTTATATTTCTATCTCAACCCCGTGGCAAGTTAAATCAATCCTGAATTACCAGAAGTAAAATTGAGAATATTTTCCAACTCTTTAATTAAAGTTATTCTTCAACAAATCCCTATGGTCAGAAACTTTTAAATTCAGTTTTGTTAACGGAGCCAGACAGTTTTTCAGAGAGCATGTAAAATTTTTCTCAGAAGCCTTTTATTATTTTTCATCTCTCGGAAATAAATCTGTAGAAGCCTATCTTCAGTTCTTTTGGTTCTCCACCAAAGCCAGTTTCGTAGATTTTTTCCGTCTAAAGTTTTCGTCTCTGGTCTGTAGAAACCTGAGGCTTAAAATATTAATCTACTCGAACTAGATTTACAGTTTCAGTATTTTCTTGGAGAACTTAGAAATTCGGATTTTAATGAACAGAACCCTAAACAACTCTTTTCAAACCTGATCTAACTTTTTCAAAAGTTGGGGTTTTAAACTTTAGACATAACTGGGATTTCTTTTTTAGATTCAAAGTTTTTTTTTGAATTTCAGAAACTTCACAAAAATCTAAGAAGTTTTCCTCATTGCAGAATTGTTCAATGTCCAATGTGCATTCTTAAAGTATTTCTTGATAAAATGCAAAAAAAAAACTTACCGATGATATAAGATATAAGATATAAGATATAAGATATAAGATATAAGATATAAGATGTAAGATATAAGATATAAGATATAAGATATAAGATATAAGATATAAGATATAAGATATAAGATATATTTTACCTCTCAAAGAGAATATTTTGCTTAGATTGATAACAAAATTAGAGTTTGTTTGTTTGCATTTCCGATCATAACTCATGAACCCTTTGACCGATTTGTCTTAAATTTTGATTGGGGAACTCGACAGAAAATGTTCTTAGTTTGGTTTTTAGAGTCTAAGTTGAGTGGATCGTCTTAACTAGTAAAAATTTTGCGGTAAACGGCAATTTTAGGTTACCAAACTTTTTTTTTCTAAAATTGCTCAAAAATAATCTTAAGGGTGTATTTTGTATTTTTTTCATTTTAAATTTTAAATTAAAAAATAATTATTTAAAGGGTTTGTTATGCTGAGCTTTTAAAATTATTAAGTTCCATTAATATTAAAGGGACTGTAGTGGAAATTTCAAGAAACCCTTGAATTAAAGTGACGCATTGTCAAGGCAGAAGACTCAATTAAACCCTGGGAAAGTCGAATTCAAGAGTTTCAGGTCGTCTTTTCCAGTCTCATGCTTTGTGGGTAAGCCTGTACGTTCGTTTTCAAAAGTTCAAAAGGCCAAACAGAAAAATTTGAGAAAATTCTGGTCGAAAATGGGTCCAAACTGACATTTCAGACTCTCTGAATGACCGAACAATATTTCAGAATATTTATACAGAAAATCAATGATATATCAATCATCGTTTTTAAAGTTTAAAAGATATCCATTGTGTATCACTTACGGCACTCGTTGATTTTGTCGAGTAACCCTTTAAAATCTCCTTGCAGTAAGATAATGATAAATATGTTTGTATATAAATTACTCTCGGAGCCTAATGCAGTTTTCTTGTAAAACCTAAAAATATGTTTTATGTCTAGTATGCATGCATTTAACAAGGTTATAAATAAACAAGAAATTTAGAGTGCATCACACCTTTCTTTATGAAGTAAGAAAATATCGTAAAAAAAATAATTGGACAGGAGCAACCATTGGACAGGAGCAACCATTGGACAGGAGCAACCATTGGACATGAGCAACCATTGGAGAGGAGCAACCATTGGAGAGGAGCAACCATTGGACAGAAGCAACCATTGGACAGGAGCAACCATTGAACAGGAGCAACCATTGGACAGGAGCAACCATTGGACAGGAGCAACCATTGGACAGGAGCAACCATTGGACAGGTGCAACCATTGGACAGGAGCAACCATTGTAAAACCTAAAAATATGTTTTATGTCAAGTATGCATGCATTTAACAAGGTTATAAATAAACAAGAAATTTAGAGTGCATCACACCTTTCTTTATAAAGTACGAAAAGATCGTAAAAAAAAATAATTGGACAGGAGCAACCATTGGACAGGAGCAACCATTTGTCAGGAGCAACCATTGAACAGGAGCAAACATTGAACAGGAGCAAACATTGGACAGGAGCAACCATTGGACAGGAGCAAACATTTGACAGAAGCAACCATTGGTCAGGAGCAACCATTGAACAGGGACAATCATTGAACAGGAGCAAACATTGGACAGGAGAAACCATTGAACAGGGACAATCATTGAACAGGAGCAAACATTGGACAGGAGCAACCATTGAACAGGAGCAACCATTGGACAGGAGCAACCATTGAACAGGAGCAAACATTGGACAGGAGCAACCATTGGACAGGAGCAAACATTGGACAGGAGCAACCATTGGACAGGAGCAACCATTGGACAGGAGCAACCATTGGACAGAAGCAACCATTGAACAGGAGAAACCATTGAACAAGAGCAACCATTGGACAGGAGGAACCATTGGACAGGAGCAACCATGGGACAGGAGCAAGCAACCATATAAACGTAAATTTTGTGATTGGACTATTTTGTAATAAATACATTTTTTGATGCAATACATTTTTACATATATTAAGTCTGGAGTGGATACATTTTCTAAAGAACACATTTTGTGATGCAATACATTTTGTGATGCAATACATTTTGTCTTGTATATATCAAAGTCTTGAGTGGATACATTTTGTAAAGAATACATTTTGTGATGCAATACATTTTGTGATGCAGTAAATTTTGTCTTGCATATATTTAAAGTCTTGAGTGAATACATTTTGTAAAGAATACATTTTGTGATGGGATACATTTTGTGTTGTATAAATTATGTAAGGAGTGGATACATGTAGTGCTGGGATACATTTAGTAATGAAAAAATTTTGTGTTATATATATATATATATATATAAAGTCTGGAGAGGATACATTTAATGCTGGGATACATTTTGTAAAGAATACATTTTGGTAAAGAATACATTTTGGGATGCAATACATTTTGTGTTATATATATTAAGTGTGGAGTAGATACATTTAGTGACCTGTGATACATTTTGTGAAGAAAATATTTTTTAATGGAATACATTTTGTTTTGAGATATTACGTGTGAAGTGGATACAATTTGTAATGAATACATCTTGTGATGGGATATACATTTTGTGGTGGGATATACATCTTGTGATGGGATATACATCTTGTGATGGGATATACATTTTGCGTGGAGTGGATAAAATTTGTATTGGGGTACATTTCTTTTGGGTACATATTGTTTTATATATATATTATTTGTGGATACATTTTGTTATGAAAAACATAACTCTCGACTACATTTTGAAATGAGATACATTCGTAATGGGAAACATTTATACTAGGATACATGGTTGTGCTGGCTAAAGCATGGTGTGGATACATTTTGTAGTGGGATACATAACTGTGCTGGCTAAAGCATGATGTGGATACATTTTATACTAAGATACATGATTGTGCTGGCTAAAGCATGATGTGGATACATTTTGTACTGGGATACATAATTGTGCTGGCTAAAGCATGATGTGGATACATTTTGTACTGGGATACATAATTGTGCTGGCTAAAGTATGATGTGGATACATTTTATACTAGGATACATGATTGTGCTGGCTAAAGCATGATGTGGATACATTTTGTACTAGGATACATAATTGTGCTGGCTAAAGTATGATGTGGATACATTTTATACTAGGATACATGATTGTGCTGGCTAAAGCATGATGTGGATACATGTGTTGTACTGGGATACCTAATTGTGCTGGCTAAAGCATGATGTGGATACATTTTGTACTGGAATACATAATTGTGCTGGCTAAAACATGATGTGGATACATGATTATGTTGGATATGGCATGATGTGGATACATTTTGTGAAATATGAGTATCTCCGATATCCTTTGTTATCACAAGAAACCCGTGTAAGTAATGGCGAGGTCTCAGTATAGGTTTTCAATAATTAAATCCTATAAATCTCAACAAAAACCGTTAAAACCTTCACATTTTCTATTTTTCCCTCAAGCTTTGCAATATTTCTAGAATATTAATTAATATTATTTATAGTTATTTAACTAGGCATTGAAAACAACTGGATTCTTTAATTAATCAACTAAATCATTATTTAAACAATTATGAACACTCAAACCGCCCATTTAAAGGGACTGTAAGCGTTATTCCATGTGACCCTCCATGCAAGGTTGACAATACATGATTCCCAATAGTACTCTCTGGAAATATTTATCAGTTATATAGTGTGCAAGATATTGTTGTTTTCTGCGGTTAAGAAGTGTTTAATTATGATCATTTCTATTTGTTTCCTGCAGTAGAAATGCTCAAGTCACTACATTTTAAAATAATTAGTTTTTTTTGAAATTCTAAACATAAATATGTATTTCCAATTGATTAGACAAAGCTTTCAAGGATATTTTTGCTAGTCGGGCTTTGCACGGAGAGTCACTTGAAATTGCACATACAGTCCCTTTAATGACATGCCTAGCAACGACTTCGATGTAATCCGTTGGATGTAGATTCATCATCTTCTGGTATTAATTGTAAACAAACAAATGTTGAATAAGGATAAACAATAATATCATGAAACACAACGAAATATCAATAAACACTGCGAAATATCAATAAACACAACGAAATATCAATAAACACTGCGAAATATCAATAAACACAACCAAATATCAATAAACACAACGCAATATCAATAAACACAACGAAATATCAATAAACACAACGAAATATTAATAAACACAATGAAATATCAATAAACACAACGAAATATTAATAAACACAATGAAATATCAATAAACACAACGAAATATCAATAAACACAACGAAATATCAGTAAACACAATGAAATATCAATAAACACAACGAAATATTAATAAACACAACGAAATATCAGTAAACACAACGAAATATCTATAAACACAATGAAATATCAATTATACCTAAAAATGTAAAATTCAAATAAGTTCATGTTCATTTTACATATTTGACATCTCAATGTACGTTTGAGGTATTTAAAACTTGGCTTGTGTTTAGTCCGAACTAAACTAATCCATGAAATCTGCAAAAAAATATTTTCTGCTGAATTAATTATTTGAAATATAAATCCACATGTTGAAGGATCAGAAAGACAACAATTCATAGAAACTGACTAACTAACTAACTAACTAACTAACTAACTAACTAACTAACGAAGGAAATGATTTTTTAGCCAAATTCCAGAAACTCTTATGGATTCAAATTCTACCTTGTTCCAAATGAAAATAAAATGAACTTTCAAGTGAACCACCATCTGATTCTTTGACAATTATCAAGGATGAACTAGTTATCTTACTTATCTACAAATACGCTTGTAATTTACATGTCAGCTGATTGATATTTAGAATATTATTATTTATCCTCTGGAAGTCTCGAAAAATGAAGATTTTCATTCTTAAAAAACGCGATCGGAAATTAAAAATGTGCAAAAGAAAGTGTACATTCCAGTTTCCTGTAATAGGTTTCACACAATTTAATTATGAGGGTAACAAAGACATTCATAAATATGTCAGTTTTTTTCGAAAAATGTCAATTTCAATTAACAAATCATTATTTTTTTCTCCGTATACTTTAATAAGAAAAATAATTATAAATACTTACTTTAGTTTTTCCCTTCTTAGATATAACCAGCAGGGTGGGTTCCTAGACAATTTAATAAAATAACCAGCAGGATAGGTTCCTAGACACTTTAATAAAATAACCAGCAGGGTGGGTTCCTAGACAATATCAATAAAAAACCAACAAGGTGGGTTCCTAGACAATTTAAGAAAATAACCAGCAGGGTGGGTTCTTAGACAATTTAATAAAAAAAACCAGATGGGTGGGTTCCTAAACAATTTAATAAAAACCAAGCAGGGTGGGTTCCTAGACAATTTAATAAAATAACCAGCAGGGTGGGTTCCTAGACAATTTTATAAAATAACCAGCAGGGTGGGTTCCTAGACATTTTAATAATAAAACCAGAAGGATGGGTTCCTAGACAATTTAATAATAAAACCAGCAGGATGGGTTCTTAGACAATTTAATAATAAAACCAGCAGGATGGGTTCCTAGACAATTTAATAAAATAACCAGCAGGGTGGGTTCCTAGACAATTTAATAATAAAACCAGTAGGATGGGTTCCTAGACAATTTAATAATAAAACCAGCAGGATGGGTTCCTAGACAATTTAATAAAAAACCAGCAGGGTGGGTTCCTAGACAATTTAATAAAAAAAACCAGCAGGGTGGGTTCCTAGATATTTTAATAAAAAAAAACCAGATGGGTGGGTTCCTAAACAATTTAATAAAAACCCAGCAGGGTGGGTTCCTAGACAATTATATAAAAAAACCAGATGGGTGGGTTCCTAGACAATTTAATATAAAAACCATCAGGATGGGTTCCTAGACAATTTAATGAAAAAAAACATCAGGGTGGGTTCCTAGACAATTTAAAAAAAAAACCAGCAGGGTGGGTTCCTAGACAATTTAATAAAATATCCAGCAGGGTGGGTTCCTAGACAATTTAATAAAAAACCAACAAGGTGGGTTCCTAGACAATTTAAGAAAATAACCAGCAGGGTGGGTTCCTAGACAATTTAATAAAAAAAACCAGATGGGTGGGTTCCTAAACAATTTAATAAAAACCAAGCAGGGTGGGTTCCTAGACAATTTAATAAAAAAACCAGCAGGGTGGGTTCCTAGACAATTTTATAAAATAACCAGCAGGGTGGGTTCCTAGACAATTTAATTTTTAAAAAAATTTAGCTGTTATTAGAAGCTGAATGAAACTGCTTATACCATGGATTGTAACTTTTCTTCAAAAAGGATTTGGAAAATTAAATCTTTTTAAAGGAACTGTCGACAAAATTTCAATAGACTCTCAATTTGAAGAAGCGTTTCGTGTCTGATTCACACCACTACCCTTTAGCCTTTTAACAGATTAACAGTAAGGAAAATAATGTCGTTTTTCTGTCATAAAAATATATTTTTTTTTATTTTTTAGACGCTTTTTTTTACAAAATATATATTAAGCTACTTTTTAGTAAATATAAATTAAAATAATAAATTTTCATAATAAATTATAAAACAGGGATAAGTTTATACTTTTTTGCTCTTTAAAAAGTCTAAATATTGTGAATCGGATATGCTACTTTTCAAATGGAGGGTCACATGAATTTCGTTAACAGTCCGTTTTTTATACTTACCTCCCTATCAATCAGATTTCTGAACTGCCTTCTAATAAAATAAAATTTGACATCATTATTTCTTATCCGGAAAGTTTAGGAAAATATATTTTAAAATAAAATAAAATTCCACAATGCATCTTTTATTGAATGGTTTTGGGAGGAAAGAGGAGTGGGGGTTGGATCTATTGAGTATAATTTTATTGTATTCAATAATAAATCATGGGCAAAGAAGAAGGAGCGGGAAAACAGAAAGAGGAAACATTGTGATAGATAGATAGATAGATAGATAGATAGATAGATAGATAGATAGATAGATAGATAGATAGATAGATAGATAGATAGATAGATAGATAGATAGATCAAGAAGAATGATCCTATTCTAGGTTAATCGATCTCGTATAAACTCAGAAAATGTGAAACTGAAGGTTTTCGTTGTTTTTTTTCTAATTTCTTCAATTTTCCTTTAAATGTTACATTTCCTGCAGGGCTATATTTTCATTTAAGCCTCGAGCTGCATAATTTTTCCTTACAATCTGCCATTCTATATATAATGTAGAGCTATATTTTTTAAACAAATTTGGTTTTTGGCACTTTTGGCACTCATAAAAAAAATGTGCAGAGCTTTTGTATCTTAACAGTCCTCTTTTTCCGCGTCCCTTTTCTACTTTTTCTCAAATTATCATCGTTGATTTTTTACGGAGTATGTTTCTTTGGAAATGAAAATTCTCAATGTTGTCCTTCATTAATAAAATCCTTATTGAACTTTTGTCGTTGAGAAATCTTTTGTTGTCTTTAAAGAGATAGTAGGGAGGATGGGGGGGGGGTTGAAAATAAAAAATTTGCATAATTGATTTTAAATCCATTTTCCTAATGACAACCAGGACTACAACAAGATAAACCATCAGACAAACACTAAAAATAAAAATAAATAGTTTTTTTTCTTTGTTTTTATTTGTAAACGTTTTGTCTCATTATTTTTTCTTGTTATTTTGTAATGTACTTATTTCACTTTTATTATGTTTTTTTTACGATTATTATCAGTCTTGCTAAGGTGGTAGGCGATTATATCAATATAATGAAGACGAATTTCGATTTAAATTTGATTTATATCTAGCTTTAAACAACATGATTAAACAAAAAATGGAAACAAAGAGATGCTGTCAATTAAAAAATCTCCTCTTGAATTACTTGTAAACTCGTAATTCGCAAAAAGCTTGCTAAAAATTAAAACTTGTTGTTACTCTAAGTATTGTTGTTGACGATCAATTGTTTAATTTGTTCCAACATTTTGAGAGGACTTGAATCTTATGGAGGAAAACATGATGGCAGCTTTCGAACTAATGTTTACATAACGTCTGTATGCCTGTTAGTTAAGTTAGTGTTAGGAAAAAGACGCGCCTGATCGTTCTTTTTTTCAGGAAAGGTTTTTTTGTTTTCTTGTTGGTTAATGGTTAACAATATCAAAATTAATTCCGTCAATTTTCAAAATCAGCCGGTTGTTGAAGGTACGTTGCCCAGCTTTAGTGAAATCACTTTTTTAGCCTATAACATCCCCCGGCCACCCATGAGTGTCCACAAAAAAATTCAGCCCAATCGGTCCAGCAGTTTGGCCGGCCATAGGCAACATATATATAGGAATGTCTTGTTTTATTATTATAGAAATTATTATAAATATGTATTCACACACAAAGATATAAATACATATATAAATGGTGTAGTTTAAATTTGTTTAAATAATTTGAATATATAGTTTTACAAAAGAAAAAAGAAAAATATGCAAAATTATGCACAATTAGGCGACATTTATCATTACTCATTACTCATTACATATTAATCATTTCGTTTATTACTGTAAAGATTTTAGTTGCAGAGAATTGTAAATAGTAAAGAATAGTAAAAAAGCAGACAGTATTCGATATATTCCGTGCAATCGTCTCTGAAGTCTCCCTATATTGGTGCGAAATAATGATAAAAACTCTTTAGTACATATTGAAAATATATTATATCCTATTGTTTGCTCCTATGTTCTTGTGTTTAAGAGTCTGGTTTGAGGATTGAGGATTACAAATTTCAGAAAATTATTTTTCCTCGCAATTTTGAAAAAAAAATTACTCCCGAAAAAAAAACGAAAACCATGTGAAGAGGTGGCACGGATAGCCCGGAATATTCCTTATTGTATAAGTGAAGAAAACTGAATATAATCTTGAATGGATAAATATGTAAAATAATGAAAACAAAGCCATATCATTTCTCTGTATATAAATATATTATATACAGGGAGGAAAGGCTGAGCTTCATCTTTAAATATAAAATAGTAATCTTTGTTTGTCTGTTTGTCTGTTTGTCTGTTTGTCTGTTTGTTTGTTTGAATGTATGATCATAACACACTGATGTGTCTCAAATTTTGATTACTATTACTTGATTTAGAACGCTTCGCGCCCATCTTTATATTTAAAATTTTAGCTGTTTGTTTCTGAGGATTTGTTTCTGAGGATGATGATGAGTATGAGGATGGGTAATGAGGATGAGGATATATGCGGATGATGATGAGGATAAAGATGAGAATGAGGATGAGGATGAAGATGAGAATGAGGATGAGGATGAGAATGAGTATGAGGATGAGGATGAGGATGAGGATGAGGATGAGGATGAGGATGAGGATGAGGATGAGGATGAGGATGAGGATGAGGATATATACCTGATGTAGAAAAGTCTGAGGTCTGAGTATTTAGTTGCTGCATGATGAGGATGAGGATGAGGGTAGGATGAATGAACCAAGGATGCATCAGATATACTCCGCAGAACCAGACAATCACTTCGGAAACAACATTAATACAGAGGTCTCCAAAATAAAGTGGAATACAAAGACAACTATTAAAGAAACTAAAGGGTTCCAATTTTACTTAAAAACTGAAAAAAACTGGCTTTGCCTCATAACTTGATCTGTGCATTTTTCAATCAAATGGATTATCAGAAAATTTATCTAACTTTCGTTTTTTTTAAAGATAAAAAGCTTTAAAAGTTCCTGCATTTAGGGGAGAAAAAAACCAATATATTTAGAATTAAGTTAAAAACAATGCAAAAGTAATATTTAAAATATTGATCTGAAATCCTGATTGAAAATTTAAAAAATGTAAATTATGTATAAAAATTTAAATTATATTTCTCTAAAAATTATTGGCACAAGAAATAAGAGTTAAAAGTAATAATTACGTGTCCAAGCAAGATTGAATTGGAGCCATTTTTAGAACTTCATTTTTCCTCTGAAACAAGAGAAAATTATTTGACAAGAGCACGCTTCAGCATTTCTGTTAAGATTTAAATAAGTCAATGTCAATATGCAATCCCTTTCACTGCAAAGTATAGTTCGACCAGTTTTTTATGTTTATCAATTTGATAGATAATGTTTTTAAACGTTCATTATTGATAACAATTTTTAGCTATTGACGTCAATTTTTTTGAGAACATAACAAAGTGATATTTGTGGCTAAACTTGAGTTTTACAAAGTCAAATTATTTTCTAGTTTTATATATATGTACATAAGATTTTTTGAACGATGATTTTGGTATTATTATATGTTATTCATTTCCATGTTTTCTTTGCAGTGGAAGTGGCAGAACTGTTTGAACCAGAATTGAACCTTTGGAATTATTTTTGGAAAACCAATTTTAAGAAACCATTTCAGAGAACAAATTTTAATGAACCAATTTAAAGGAACTAATTTTAAGTTTTTAAGTTTAATTGCTTCCGTAGAAACCTGAACCTTTAATAACTTCCTCAATAATCCCTTTAATTGGTTTAGAAATCCTTCCTTTTCCTGAGAATTGTATTTTGTTTTTTTTTCTGTTTCCAAGAAAACTATTTCAGAACTTTAATGGTTAAAAAATTAGACTGAGATTTCAATTTTTTAGTTTATTTTACGCGTTTTTAAATTAAGTTTTTTATTGCTGCCTTTTTATTTGTGTTAAAGGACAACTTTAGAAAAAATTTAAACCCAAACAGTTTTTGAATTTATAGAAATCAATGAGAATTTTGCCAATTACTTCTTAAAAACTAAAGCTAGAAACGAATGGTTTTAGAATTCTAAAAAGTAAACGTGAGCTAGTTAGCGCACAGGTAAGACGTCGCGACACTTTTAATTCGACACAACTTTTCATAACATATGGGTTTACCTTAAAGAGTTGATTTTGATCTTTTGTCTTGAATAAAGTGGAATACTTATATTTATATATTAAAGGTTTTCAGTTGTAGAGAACTAAAAAAATAAGTCTGCATAAATTGCGTACATAAATTACGAACAGTGGCCTCTGACGTCTTTTAAGTAATCCTAATATAAAAAGTTTATTTTCGAATCATATTTTGTAATCAATTGTATTTATTTATTTCCATAAAGAAAGATATCAATTTTCAATTAAAAGAATTAACATTATTTTTCATGAATGTGGAAACGAAAGTAATATCTAATTTAGAGGAACGATTGTCCTCTTTGCTTGCTTTTTTATATGTTAATATTTGCAAACAAACGAAGATATAACGCTTTCCATTTGTTGACACTGCATTTTCTTCTTAATTTAAAACTTGTTTCTCGTATACCACTTTTGACCACAGCCTCCCAATAAAAAAAAATTTTAAAATTATTTTAAAAAAAATATCTAAGTCAAATAAGTAATATTTGAATCTTTTGAGTCTTTGCCACAAAATCTGATTTTCTGATTACTATATCTTTACTATGGAGGCTATGGCATTGACCTTAGATATTTCAAATCAAGGATGTAAGGCAAGGAAAGTCATTTCAGAAGTGTACACACCTTTAGTACTGCAGTGTACTGTCTCTGGGCGCTAATGTAAACACAAGACGGATGTCGAATCCTGACATGGGATCCATCATTCACATAAAAAATCAATGAAATATTCTGGTCATAGGAAATTATTATGTGAATTTTCAAAATTATCAAAATTTAATGCTTTTAACCTCCTCGGATACTAAACGAACACTGATGCATCTATTATTGTTTACAAATTCCGCCCAAAGAGAACTGGTTTCAATATGTACGCAGAGTATACACGACCGCAATTGACTTTCCTTGCATTACATTCTTGTTTCAAATTATGAATTCTGTTGGATCAAATAATTTTAGTTTGAAACATCTTTGCCAAATCATTAAATAACCCAGTGAAAGAATATACATTCGCGAAAGAAGACTTTATTTAAACTTGGGATCGTCATATTTGAAGAGTTTCAAGTCTCATCCTTTGTGGGTAAACTGTATGTACTCAATTGTACAGGGTTACCTTAAAGAATGACACTTCATAGACGACTGTACGGAAATCATTTGGCCATTTTTCTTACCTCTGTACTTTATATTTTTTTGTTCCAATTTAACTTAAAAAAGTTAAAAAAGAGATTATTTAACGACGATATTTAAGACAGTAGAGACAATTCGGCCGATAATGACATTAAAAGATTTTTTTGTCTCCATAAAAGTCTTATTCTTCGCAGATAACCCTGCATACTGCATACTGTTATAGTGTATATGCAATGTTGAATAAAAAATGCTTAAATTAAGCACGCTGCAGTATGAGGGAAAATATTAGAACTTCTTGTTGCTAATTGATATAACAAGGAGTTCTGACATAATTCCAGATTAAATTATCCTCCACTGAAAACATAAAATATAAAACACAAATGTTAAGAAATGATTTTTTTGCAAAACGGATATTTTCATTTAAAATCAACAGTGAAGCTTAAAGGGACTGTAAGCGTAATTTCAAGTGACCCTTACTGCCAAGGCAATTTCCGATAAACAACGGTACCTTTTATAGCTTTGCCTGTTTAGGCATAGTTTACATATTAATGCTCTTAATTTTAAAAATTATTTATTTTCAACACTGTGGTTTCTTTATAAAATCTTTCCAATTGTGCATCAGATAAAGGTTTCAAGGGTACCGTTGTGAATCGAGCAATGCTGGTTTTGCATGGAGGGTCACTTAAAATTACGCTTACAGTCCCTTTAATATAAAAAAGTGTCAAGCCAATTTTCCTTTTCTAGTCGCAGAGCTTGGCNATGAGCCCAGGGAAGGTTTATTAATGATCAAAATTTCAAATATTTGTCTCTATCAAAATTCGATCGTCATTAAATTTTTAAAAATTTTGAAAATCCGCGAATTTTTTTGTAAAAATCCGCGAATTATTTTTGTTTTGTTTTACGATGTACACAAAGAGAACATGTTCACAACTAATTTAGACGATGGGCGCGAAGCGCCCTCTAAGGCTAGAAAGAAGGGCGCGAAGCGCCTTGAATTTCTAGTTACTCTAAATTAAAAGAAAAACACAACATAAAGGTCTAAACCTTAAACCTAAGACCTTCTCTTCTTCATGTATGAGATATTAGGCTATCAGAGCGCTTCGCGCCCATCTTTCATTGCAGTTTAACTCTGCGGTAAAAAATTAATACACACATTTGGAAATTTACAATTTTATTCGTTGATTTTCAAAATTTTACGAAAATCGAAATATCTTGAGACAACTTTTTGTAATTCTCAGTATCTATAAAAATTCCCTAGCGCTAAAATGTGAGGTCCCACAAAAAATGTGTCCCGATCGGTTCAGCCGTTTTGACGTTTATCGGTTACAGACAAACAAACACTCAGACAAGACCTTTGACATTTCTCAAATTATGAAGTCTGCTAGAAGTAAAACCAAGAGACTGAAAGACCAACAAAATCAGGTTTCAAAGATGTATACATTAGAAAATTATTGTTCAAGGCAAATGTTGAGTTGTTCTCCAGTGCACGTTTGCTGATTATATACAGTAATAACCAGAAAACAATGGAATTCCAGAGTTTTCTGGTTATCACTGAAGTCATTTCCTGAAAATTGTATATATGCATTATGCATAATGAACCACTGTACTATCTGAACTTTTTTGTCTCTGGTAAAAATATTATGAATGATAATAACAATATTGGTTAATTATGTGGTATAGGGCAAACAAAATTACTAGTAATAAATTGTTATACTTAATATATCTCAAGGGACCATCACAACAAGTCCTTTACTACATAGGGGACACTTCAGCTCTTAGACATTGTTGTGTTGTCCAGGGTTTAGTAATTTGTTAAAGAATTGTGAAAACAAAGAAATGAGCTCTAACGAAAACAACATCAAACTAGCTTCAGAACCCAACATTGCTCAGGCCAGGTACTCGTAGATACTCTCGCTATTTACCCGGGGTTGGTCAAAAATTATGATTTAGCTATTTTCCCGTATAAAATGATCCCACTCAAGTTAGAATCTGTAAACCTCAGAACATTCCCATGGTTCTCCCGAGTTCCCAATCAAAATTCGAGGCAAATCGTTTAAGTGGTTAATGAGTTGTGGTCGGACATACAAACAAACAGAGATTACAACTAATTATATCTATAGAAGACACTGATCATTCATATCCAAATGTCAAGAGTTCGGATTTAATGAAAAGTATTAAGAAGTTGAGCTAGGTATTGCTAGTTCAACTACATTAACTCTTTTCCTTACAAAAGAAGTAGTTCAACTATCGGTGTGTAGTTCAATTACTATTAAAGAATAATAACTTTTAGTCTGAAACTTAGATATGCTTATCTCTAGCCAGTGTTTGCCCATCTGTAGGATTCGAGATGTGCAATTAAACGCAACGCTTCCCCAAACTGTACAGCCGGGACTGCTATATGAGAGGTCCGTTCTCTTCCAAGGGCGGTAAGCAACTGAGGAACACTCAAATAAGGCTAAAAAAGTTGGTTCACTATTTAGTCTAAAATGCACGAAATATACTTGAAACCATGCAGTTTTTTCCCAGTCACTGCACTGCTAGGAATAAGGATGTCAAAGACTTTTCCCCTAGGGTATTTTCCCAAAATTGCAATTATTTGGGAGTTTTTATTTCTATCCTGCCTTGTGAGATAAAAGGGGTTAAATTATTTGTTTTTGTATTTTGAGTGACTTATCCTTTTCCCTTCTTTTATTAGATGAATGATTCTAATGAATTTAAAAAGTGAAAGGAAAAGAAGAAGCTGTTTGTACTCATCCTCAAGATTGCAGGGGAGTTTTTTCGAATTTTAATTTTTAGAAAACTGCAGCCTTTCATGCTTGAGCTTTTTTATCTTTACAGGACTTTACGTCATTTATTTCCCTGTAATAAGAATAAGTATTGGCTATTCCTGATTAAAAAATTTTAGTATTACATTTATTTATAGTTTAACTCAAATCTCTACATCGTATAGCTCCATTTTTTTGTTTTGATGCA